TGCCCAGAGAGGCTGTGGAGTCTCCTGCTCTGGAGAGATCCCAAACCCTCCTGGCTGTGACCCTGGGCACCCTGCTGTGGGTGAGCTGCTGGAGCAGGGGGTTGGATGAGATGATCTCCAGAGGTCCCTCCCAACCCCACCATGCTGGGACTCTGGGACTTCCTCCACATTTGCATGGGTGCCTTCCTTCTCCTGCCTACCTTATGCCCCACTGGCATTTCTCACTGGTATTTCTTTCTCTTGCTCTCTGGATCTAGATTCACAAGAAGGACAAAATGATCAAAGACCTCAAAACCAGTATGCAAGATGTGACCAAAGACTCCAAGGCTGACATCCAGCAGATCAAGCAGGAAGGAGAGAAGCAGCAGGAAGAGAAGCTGGAGGCGTCCCAGGCCAGGTGTGCCAGGCTGCAGCAGGACCTTCAGCAGCTGGAGGCACAACTCAGCTCACTGGTGCTGGAGCACCGAGCAGCAGAGCTGGCTCTCCAAAAGGTACACGGGGGGAAAGCTCCAGTAAAAGGAGATTTAAAACCTTCTGTAGAGCTGTCAGGTCTGGCTGCTGGGTGCTGAGAGTCATTACTCGGTCCCTGCTAGTTCCTGGCAGGATGCACATGCTGTTTGTCAGCCTCTACCTGCTCTGTCCTCCTGCTCTGCTGACTCCAGGGGAAAGCAGCTCTGCAGCACCAGCAGGGAAGGAGCCTGCTCATGGATCCTCCTCCTGCCTGCTGCCTGAGCCTGGGAAACGCCTTTGTCTGGAGCTGCAACAGAGGTTATGGTCTGCTCAGGGTGCAGAGCTGCAGAGCTCTGGGAGCTGGGCCAGGCCTCTGTCAGAGGAGGGGTTGGGTGCAGGGGGAGCAGAGCAACCATCCTCTTGGCTTTATACAAAGCCATCATTCAGAGCTGATTGTAGAGCTCACGGCTGGGCGCAGCCAATCCTGGGAGCTGAGCAGCTCCTGCTCTGCCTGCGGCTGTGCTGGAGACACCAGCCAAGGAGCTGGGCAGAGCTGAGGGAGGGGGAAGTGGGATTTCTCACTGTTCTGAGCAGGGCCAAACAGGAGTGGCAGGGGCAGGGGCAAGCCCCTGTGTCAGCAGCTCTGCCCGGAGCAGAACGGGCTGGGGATGCAGGGCATGGAGAATCTAGAACTGGAAAAAAGAGCTTTTTCCCCTCATTTTGCTCCTAGCAGGTCTTTCCTCTAGACAGGCACAGGCCTCCAGCAGGCAGGAGCACACACACTGGTCCTGGGGCACTGCTCACTCTCATGTTGGACAACGCAGGGCAAAGTGGCAGTGGGGCTGGGCTTGGACAAAGTGTCAAATGCCAGTTAAAGCCACGGTGTAAAACACAAAATCTACCTGTTTGTGGCTCCTTTAATGGAGTGGCTTTAGCAGGCAGGTTCTGCTGAGGCTGCAGGATTTGCTCCTTCTAATCATAGCATCACAGGATTGTTTCAGTTGGAAAACGCCTTTAAGGTCACCCAGTCCAACCATCCCTCAGCACTGCCAGGTCCCCGCTGCCCCGTGTCCCTCACACCACATCTCCACGGCTTGGAAACCCCTCCAGGGGTGGGGACTCCACCACTGCCCTGGGCAGCCTGGCACAGCCCTGGGCAACCCTGTCAGGAAGGAAATTTTCTCCTTGCCCACTCCTGAGCACGTCCCGTAGTCTGGCATGGCTCAGGATTGTACTTGTGGTCCTAAGTAGCTGAGATCTGACCTCCTGAGGGCCTGAGAGCCCTTGGGACATCCTGGGTCAGTGTCACACAGGAAATGGTGTGGTACTTGTGACAAGCTCCAGCTGATCTTTCTCTTGATGATTTCACAGCAGCTTGGGGTAAACTGCCTGTACCTGGTTATGCTGCAGTACAGCCCCTGTTAAACTGCTTTACAGCTAGAAATATCTCTTCATTTTAAAAGGCCCCATCTTTTGAGTACTTCCTGTCCCCCTTTCATGTTTAGCAGTTCTCTACTGCTTCAATTTTAGGGTAGTTGCCCCAGTTTAAGGATGACTTGCCTCATTCCATCAGCCACACTCATTTCCTACTGCAGAATGCACCTTCCAGATGTGTTTCAATCTCTCAGCTCCACGGGGTAAACCAAGTAAAGGCCCTTTTGGCTTCAGAGAATGTCCCATGGGAACCCCCAAACCAGGACAAACTAGGTGTCAGGAGAAGGAAGGTTGCCACAAGGAGGAGGTGTTATACAATAATGCTGGGCTCAGAGCTACACTTGCCTCACTCAGGCTCCTTTTTCCCTGGCTTCAGGTACCTGTCTTGGTTTTATCTTGCAGAGGAAGAGCAGAGTGGAGATGGAAATTGTGAACTGGATCCAGAAATACGACACAGACATGGCAGAAAAACAGGTAGCTGCTCTGAAGTGCTTTGCTGTCCCAGGAGGTGATCTGTTCAGGGAGCTTCCCGTCCCAAAGGCCACGTGGCTGTGACACAGGAGGCTGTGGAAGTGAGGTGGAAGGAGTTTAGGCTTTAGAAGGAAGGGTATCTTTGTCCTGCCTGTGTGTCCAGGAGTTCTCTGCTGCTCTGACTTTAGAAAAAATTACACCCACCACTAAATCCCACAGTATCTGGGGGCAGATGTGCTGCCACGTTGTCAGACACACCCACCTGATGCTTGGGCACAGAGTTTTCACTTTTCCTTCAATCCTCAATCCTGTTGGCCCTACTTGGGGTCCCAACCATGCTCCTGCTTCTGCTGGCCCCCTTGAGAGATGTGCCAAGAAGCCCAAGGTGCTGCAGATTGCTGCTGGGGCATCCATCTTACCCACACCAAGCTGAGAGTTGCACCAGCACCCCCCAACCTCAGCCCTGGGAAGACCCTGGTTGCTCTCCTGCTCTTGCCCTGTTTGTGGAGATGTTTAACAACATGACAGTTTGGCTCCCAGCCTGCTGGTGGCTGGAGAACTGTGTCCTGCAGACACACATCCATGCTGATGGTTCCCCTAACGGGGTGAGTGGATGTGGATGAGGGAAAGGCTGTGGATGTGCCTACCTGGACTTCAGTAAAGCCTTTGGCAGTCTCCTGCAGCATTCCCCTGGAGAACCTGGCTGCCCATGGCTTAGGCAGGCAGAGACTCTGCTGGGTAAAACACTGGCTGGGTGGCTGGGCCCAAAGTGTAGTGGGGAATGGAGCTAAAGTGTGTCCCCAGGGCTCAGTACTGGGGCCTCTTCTCTTTAGTGTTTTTATCAATGACCTGGACAAAGGGATTGAGGCACCCTCTATAAGTTGGTGGATGACATCAAGTTGGGTGGGAGTGTTGATCTGCTGGAGGGTAGGAGGCTCTACAGAGGGGTCTGGACAGGCTGGAGCCATGGGCTGAGGCCGATGGGTTCAATAAAGCCAAGGGCTGAGTCCTGCCCTTGGCTCACAACAACACCCTGCAATGCTCCAGGCTGGAGGAAGAGTGACTGGAAATTGCCCAGCAAAAAAGGGTCTGGGAATGTTGGCTGAGAGCCAGCTGAAGATGAGGCAGCGTGTGCCCAGCTGGCCAAGAAGGCCACCAGCATGCTGGATTCTATCAGCAGTAATGTGGCCAGCAGGACTAGGGCAGGGATCCTGAACTGGGCTCAGCACTGGGGAGGCTGCCCCTTGAATCCTGGGTTCAGTTTTGGGCCCCTCCCTCCAAGAAGGACCTTGAGGGGCTGGAGCATGGTTCAAAAAATGGCAATGAAGCTGCTGGGGAAGGGTCTAGAGCCCAAGTGTGGGGAGGAGCAGCTGAGGGAGCTGGGGGTGCTGAGCCTGGAGCAAAAGAAGCTCAGGGGAGATCTTCTGGCTCTGCACAGCTCCTGACAGGAGCCTGGAGCCAGGGGGGGGTTGGGCTCTGCTCCCAAGGAACAAGTGAATAGGAGAAGAGGAAAGGGCCTCAAGTTGCCCCAGGGGAGGTTGAGGTTGGCCCTGAGGAACAATTTCTTGCCCTGGAGGGTTGTCCAGGGCTGTGCCAGGCTGTCCAGAGCAGTGGTGGAGTCCCCACCCCTGGAGGGGTTTCCAAGCCGTGGAGATGCAGTGCTGAAGGACACAGGTTAGCAATAGACTTGGCAGAGTTAGGTTAATGGTTGGACTTGATGCTCTTAAAGGTCTTTTCCCACCCAAACAATTCTGGGATTCTGTGGTTCTAACGTTCCACCTCCATGTGGCTGCCTCAGAGGCATTAGGAAAAGCACAAACTGCTGCTGAGCCTGGCGGTGCAGTGACACCACTATAGCTGCCTGGCCGGGCCTTCTCCAGGCTGACGTGACCCAGCTCGTTCATGCTCCCACCAGCTCAGTAGCTGGGCTTCAGTGGCACACATCTACACGGCTCCCCAGCCAAGCTGTGAGCTCAGGCTCAGCCCGACCTGAGCTGCTGAATGTCCTCAAACTGCTGTGCTTGGTATCTGCTGTCTTGCCAGGCTGAGTATGAAGAGGTTCATGCTGCCTACACTGAGGAGAAGGCCCAGCTGTCCCTGCTGATGGAGAAACGTGCTGTGCTTCTCCAGGAGTATTCCCAGATTGAGGAGGAGCGTAGGATACGTCAGAAGAAGGAGGAGGAGGCCTTGGAGGAGTTCCACACCAGGAGCCTCGCTGCCACTTGCATCCAGGCCTTCTGGAGAGGCTACTTGGTTCGGCGCCTCTTCAAGCCAAAGAAGAAGAAGACAACGACAAAGAAGGGCAAAGGCAAGGGCAAGAAGGCCAAGAAATAAGGCACAAAATCTATTCTCTCTTCTCCTGGCAAAGCTGCTGACTCTGCTGGGACTGAGCTCGTCCAGATAGAGGTGTTAGATCTGAGAGAGCATTGGCACTGAGGCCCAAGCTCTCCAGGGCTGGGGCTGCCTCTCGTAGCTGGGGTGTGTGGAGGCAGTGGTGTGAAGACACAGCTCACCAGCTTAGGTTTGGCTCTGCTGCCTCTGCAGGGAGGAGGATGTCTCCTGATGAAGGGACCGGGCCAGGAGTGCAGGTTCCTGGCTTGTCTCCTTGGCTTTAGTCCCCTTGCTCACACCTTGTTTGTGTGTCAGGCCCCATTCTGTTCTTACTGAAGGTGGCAATAAATTCACTCCAGGGGCAGGATGAGGCCCCTTGTCTGACAGAGTTTGTCCTTGTCTATGTTTGAGACCAAGAGAAGGGACATGAGCCTTGACTGGGCACCACGCTGGCAGGTTTTGGCAGAGACCACCTGAGGGGTGGGATGCTCATGCCCTGCTCCTGGTCCTACTGGTCAGTCCCTCAGCCAAGCAGGGACCCGTGCCCCATTCAAGCAGATCCCTGGTTTGACAGCACGCTCTCCTCAGGCTCCTTTGGTGTCTAATGCCCCAGGAGGTCACCGCAGCCTTTCCCCCACGCCGGGGCATGAGCCGAGTGGTTGCTCTCCTTGGTTGCCCTCTCATTTTCAGTAGCTGTGTAGCAACTCCACAGCACAGAGCTCTTCACTCCTCCTCACCCCGGGGCTGAGATCAGCCATGGATACGGTCCCACCCTGGGGCTGTGTCTGACTGCTTCCATTTTCCTGGGACACGGGGCTGCCACGTGGACCCACAAAGGCCTGGGCACCTCCTCTCGTGTGTCCCGTGTGTTTAACAAGGCTGGGAGCAGAGAGCACTTTGGATCCAGCTCCCAGTGGCAGCATGCTGCTGGAGAAGCTGGTGGCTCACGGCACGGACGGGTGGACTCTGCACCGGGTTAAAAACTGGCTGGGTGGCCGAGCCCAGAGAGCTGTGGTGAAAGGAGCCAAAGCCAGTTGGTGGCCAGTCACGAGTGGTGACCCCAGGGCTCAGGTTTGGGGCCAGTCTTGTTTAAGATCTTTATCAATGATCTGGAAGAAGGGATCTGGTGCTCCCTCAGCAAGTTTGCAGATGACAACAGACTGAGTGGGGGGTGTTGATCTGCTGAAGGG